CACACACACACACACACACACACACACAGAGTTGTGGAGGATGAATGAGAATGAAATCCTCCAGTTTCCCTCTGCAGACGTCTGCGGCTACGTTTTGCTGATTCTTCATTTTTACCTCTCTTCCTGCTCACCTCACATCGTCTTTATGACTCTACATTTTCTGATTTTACCGGCACCGACTCTGATACCTGGACTTTGCACATTTGTGATGCCTCTGCAGCCTTGAACTCACGTTTCCCTCTGAGTTAGAAGGACTCTGACTGTCTCAGTTATAATTGAAACGTCTCAGCTGTGACTCTCTGATGCTGTTTATCACATTCAGTGCGATGCTCATCATCCAGGAGGCCTCTCGCTGTCTGTTCGCTGGGTTTTATTTATCTATCACACCCTCAGTCGTCTCTCACTGATTTAAACTTTTAATGATGTAGCTGTTTTTCCACTGAACCTGGAAAATCCTCTTTTTCTTCCTGTGCACCTGTACATTAGAACAACCCACAGACCATCTGCAGCTCACCTCATCTTTATTCTGGGGATGTTTTAAGTCGGCAATTTCCGGCACCGACCTTAAATATGAACAACACAAAATAAAACAACACATCTGGGACGAGGAGTAGAATTCTAGTTATGGAGCGACTGTATCTGTCATGTGAAGTCATGTGTTAGGGGTCAGATTCAGTCAATCCACCTCCACCACAGACTGGTAACTTCTCTATTTGAACATCTGATGAACTGTTTCTCCTCAGGACGTCCTGTGAATCTCCTGTATGTGCAGCGAGTGGTTAGAAGTGCTCCAGTGATATTAAAACAACTGAGGCGACCTGCCGAGCCGCTCGCAGCTTCCTCTCTAACCTCCGCAGTGTCTGACATGAATAATTGAGCAGTGCACCTCAGAGACACGGCACATGTTTTGTAGCGTTGCTGTGCAGCTCGCTCGTCTTCATACTCGTACATACTTCAGCTTGTTCTGTCTCTGTCCAGGTGGGAGGAGTGGGTTTGTGAAATAAACTTTGCTCACGTATTAGCCTCAGAAAAGGTCAGAAGGTCATTATGCTCCAGATCCAGAAAGTGAAGCCAGTGCAGGAGTGCCTGAAACCGGTTTTCTCTGGAATGTTTGATGAAACGTTCGGTTTCATGTTGTTTATTCTCATTCAGACACGATGGGCTGATCGTTGTTTCTCTCTCTGTTTGTCTCTGCAGGGAGTTTTTCCAGCCAACTACATTCACTTGAAGAAATCCATCGTCACCAATCGAGGGTAAGTTTCCCAAACACGAAATTTAAGTTTCCGTCTCTTTAGGGGCCCTGATGTTCGGGTCAGGAAATAAAGCCAAAACATCTGGATACAGGTGCTGCCATGTTGTGCCTTCGACATCATTAGAAAGCAAAATCTGTGCACTGGTGATCGGGGGAGTCCCACCGACCAATCACGAGTCAGTCTCAGCATCGGTGATCTACCATGGCAGTAAAATACATGATAACACGGAGGAGGCGTGACTTATGACCTATCCTACAGCCAGCCACCAGGGGGCAATCAAGACACTTTCGCTTCACGTCAGGGAGCCGTCATGTCGTCCATCTTTATTTACATCATGTCGCACAAAGTGGTAACAAAGCTTTTTCAGCTGCTTCTCCTTCCTCCTCCTTCTTTCACATCAGTGTTTTCTCACCTCGTTTCCTTCCATCTTCAGTTTCAGCTGCATCACACAGACGTTCCATGATATGACCTCCGTTAAATCAGGATTAAGTGACTGAAGAGGAGCAGCTGCAATTCCACCTTTTTAAGAGAGTAATAAGATTTAACACAGTCCAGTATATTCACTCAGTTTGAGACAACTTTAAACCAAGCAGAGCGGAAACAACTCGTCTGGAGCTTCGACTGTTTATGAGGATGTAGACTGAAACCTGTCTTCTGTGTAATGGCCAGCAGGGGGCGACTCCACTGGTAGTTTCTATAGATGTCTATAGAAAATGACTCCTCTGGTAGTTTCTATAGAAGTCTATAGCTAGCTAGCTTGTTAAGTCAACAGGTCCTAGTGTTGTGAGCGCCCTCTGCTGGATCACGCAGCAAACTACTTCAGACGCTCTGACGTGCGTCTGAACGGTTAAATTAAAATTCAAACTGTTCAAATATGAACTTTCTCCTCATGTTCTAATCAATGTTCCACTTTCAAATAAAAAGTGACGGTCCTCGAGCTCTCAGTCAGGCTCCACCCCCTGCTCCTCCATATAAGGTTACTTCTGGTTTTAAAAAAACAAGATGGCGCTGTGGCTGAGGTCGCTCCACAGATTCACTGACAGGTCTCAGGTCAGGACTTATTGGACCATCACATCACATCTGAACATTTGATCTTTACTCAGAAAGACGAAGGATATGAATGAGATGTTTCTGTAACACATTGACAGTTTCCAGGCACCAGCACCTTCTTGTTGATGGAAGTGAGTGTGTGAAGATGGATGAAGCCGTTCTCAACCTTGGCAAGAGGAGAAATAAGTGAATTTTCTGTTCACTGTAACAAAGTGTCGCCCACACACCGTTTTTATTTGACTGTCAGTCCTGAATTCAAGATAAATGTTTCCCTTCAGCTTGATTCTTTTATCGTTTTATCACTTCCGTCCTCTGTTTCTCTCCTGACTCTCAGCACCACGTCCTTGGGGTCTTTTTTTTCTCCACTGCACTCGCATTCATGAACTCCAGAATATGTTCAAAGCTAAATGGTCGAAATGTTTGATAAAGAATTCTTTAGTTTAGTTCATTATTTTTTTTGCCATGGAACACAACAAACTTAAAGGTACAGTGTGTAGAAGTTTGTGACATCTAGTGGTGAAGTGTCATGTTGCAGCTGAACAACCCCCCCTCCCCCTCCCCCCCTCCTTCCAAACATGAGAAAGAAACTGTGGTAGCTTCAGTCGTCATAAAAACTCAAAAGGTTTTAGTTTGTCCAGTCTGGGCTACTGTAGAAAACATGGCGGCCTCCGTAGAGAGGGTCCCCTCCATGTAAATATAAAGTATTTAAATATAAAGTATTTAAATATAAAGAGTCTTTTCTGGGGTAAAGAAAACTACAATTCATATAATTTAGATGAAACGAGGGAAAACATCATGAGGATGATTCTACATTAAATTTCTGCCAATAGATCCTCTCACCTGAATCTGAGTCACTGGAGCTTTAATGAAGCACATGATGACACACTGAAACATGGTGGTTCTGGATCCGTTTGCCCACAGCCCCTCCAGAACCTTTGAGGAAAACAGCTTCACTGATGTAAACCTGTGGACTGTGAGAAAAGCATCAGTGTCTTATCTGTAGTTGATTCTTTATTTCCCTCAGAGCTTTGGGGCCTTTTCTTCTTCACTCTGTTAAAAACCATTTAGGGGTAATTTGATGAAATCCTGTTTTGAGACCCCTTCGCTCTAAATAACGAATGAACCTGCTTGTTTCTGATTCGCTTCCAAGTTCAAGAGCACATATTTTAATACATTTGCATAATGATCGGAAAACCTTTCTTAAACCTCATATTAATCAGAGTTACTCAGCGTGTCTTGATTTGCATAAGAGTTTTTAATTAAAGGCAGAGAGAAAATTAATTAGTGAATCTTTCACTGTTTTAAGTGGAGCTCCAGGGCAAAGAAACACATGAAGTCAAGGAGGATGATGACAAATACAGATATGCACCATTAAACATAAAATCATCCCTATCGCCCCCTGGTGTTTGGCTGCAGTATAGGTCATAAACTCCTCCTCCTCCATGTTGGCGTATGGGACCAAACCAAAAAAAATCACCAAATAAATGTTTGTTAAAGGTTTCTTTCATTGTAGGTAGTTCTTATCACAGTGTGTTGTGTACGTTCAAGTGTTCATGTTAAGGTTAAAGATAAGAAAAAACATCGTCATGGTTACAGCAACATTTCATTAATTAAAATAGCAGCTTCATCATCATTTTGATGCCACACACAAAAAAATACCCTCTTTTATTTCACACTCTTCACACCAAATGCCTGTCTTTGCACACACACACACAAACACACACACACACACACACACACACACTCTGACTCGCCCTGTGAACCTCACAGACTTTGTGTCGGAGATGAGAACCGTCAAGCTTCATATGTTGACATTAACCTGAGGGTCAGCAGGACAGTGGCCGTTTGACCACGTTGATCTTAATGGAAACTGATGCTCTCAACACTGCACAGTGTAAAATACACACAGTGTAAAATACACACAGTTTTAAATACACACAGTTTTAAATACACACAGTTTTAAATGCACACAGTTTTAAATACACACAGTGGTGCAGGGTGTAGGTTGATTCTGTCGCTGTGACACTGGAGCTAAAGAGGGTCAAAGGTCAAGGTCATGATGACTTCACAAAACGTGTTGTTGTCTTCCTGCAGAAAATATCTCACGTCTGCCTCCAGGAAACTTCTGGACTCAAACTGACTGAAACTGTTCTTATCTGTGTAGACATCCATCCATCGGGTGGTTCTTCAGTTGACACGTCTGTTCAAATATGTCTGTCATGTCCTGAGATTATTATAGAAAGACAGTTATCGCAGCCGCGAGACAGAATATTAAATATCTTTAAAGTTCAACACAAAGCTGAGGACGTCAGACGTTTTGTGACGCAAGAAATAAGTTCCCAGAAATCTCTTCTTCACCCCAGAGAGTTTAGAAAGAGAAAAAAGACAGAACGTGTGTTTAAGAATAGAATTCATGCAGAGGGCAAACATGAGAAGAGACGGTCAGGACGTAGGACATATTAGGATGGAGCAGAAGTGGCTTCAGACTGATGGAGGACAGAAATGTCATCTCGGGGCAAAGACAAGTTCAGACAGAAAGAGAAGAGGGGGTCGATGTGTGGTTGAATGCTTGGTTGCGCAGAAAAGGAAGCGAGAGATGAGAGAGAGGTCAAGCAAAGTGAAGGATGAGAGGGAGGAGGGAGGGAGGAAAAGGAGAAATATTCTCAACTACATTTTCTTTTGAAAGCTCATCACCTCTGCTACAGATCCTCGATAAACATTAAAACAGATTTCTTAGTTTAACATGTAGTAACATGTGGATGTAGACTGAGGGAGTGACGGGGTTAAAAGAACAATATGAGGCAGAGACGTGAGAGAGAAACAGAGGAAAAGAGGGAGGGGTTCGATTGAGGGAAAAGTAGAACAGAAAAGAGGAGGAGGAGGAGAAGCGTCTGAGATACAAGTGTAACTAATGTGGATGAAATCACCAGGCGGCCGCCAGCTACGGCTCAGCTGGGAGATCAGCTAATCTGGCACACTGGCTTTTATTAATTAATCAGTCATGAGACAGAGCGAGGGAGCGAGGGGGGAATGTGAGAGCAGAAAAACCAGGAGGATAGAGGAGTGTGTACTCTAATATTCCTGACTCCAGGGCTCAGGCAGTGACTCAGCTTTCAGCTTTAGAGAACAACTCCCCCACGGTCACAATTATGTAGAAGAGAGGTGGGAAACAGAGGAGTTAGCACACGATGAGTTTCCATCTCACTGAGGTTCTGCTCCTCAGCCGCTGATCCACTTTGTGACTTTATCCAGTTTGGAAATGTCAGGACGGTTCGCACAGGGGGGGCAGGAAGTGGAGTTTTATTTTACCGGAGCAGCATTTGTACGAGGGGGGTTCGATACCAAGCTTCATCTCCCAACCACGGAGTTGCACCAAGTCCAAATGACATCATCAGTGCAAGCTATTTTGGCTTCATTTCTGGATAGTGGGAGGAAGGGGAGTCATGGTGCTCGTCTTTATTTACAGTCTGGACTGATTCTTCTACCTCTGATATCTCTATAAACAGATTCTATAAATATAAATATATTCATAGTCTGTAGACGAGGGACCAGATTTTTCATTTCTACTTTGAACAATCATGTTTGGTCGCCTACAGTCGGCGTTGAGAGCAACATGCATCATGCTTTTTAATTTGTCTGCTTTCATGTACATATAAAGTTGTTAATAGACATCAGAGACTTAAACACCTTCAAAAAGTATGTTTGTGCTTAATGTGGAGGAACATTTGACGGAGAAGGGAAGATGGAGTCTTGGCCCAGATATCTGTACACACTGTGTGTTATGTGTTTGTGTGGTGGACACGGTGACTTTACTTGTGAACATCTGATTCCTGTGTAAACAATAATTAAAGTCAGTGACTGTGAATGAAGCTTGTGTATCTTTGTACAGGCCTCATGAGACCGTGGTGCCTCTGGAGGACCCCATCGTTACCGAGGTGACGTCCACGCTGCAGGAATGGGCCTTACTGTGGAAACAGCTCTATGTGGTAAGAACCACTCAATATTTAACTCTGAGTACAAATACTGCGTCTCCATCAGTATTAATAGGATAATAATCACGAAGTCTGGAGTTACAGTCGTTGAAGGAACGCATTTAATGTGAAAGTGGATCAAGATCAAAGCAGATCAAAGAGGAAACAAGTGAAGCGTCTGATGCCCTTTTGTTCCGAATCAGACTCAGTAATAGAAAATAGAGACTGTGGACTGGTTCACCCCATGGTTCTGTTGGTTCACAGTGAAAACACTCCTTTGGATAGTTTGGACTTTTGGACCAATCACAGGACGTAGAGACACATTAAACCATAGAGGAAGAAGAAGAAGCAGCAGCTGCAGTCTTCACCTCCGACAGTATAATGTTTGAACCACGAGGACTTGTGGTGCATTTGAACTAGTGTAGGGTACTGTAGTACTGTGGAGTACTGTGGAGTACTGTGGAGTACTGTGGAGTACTGTGCCTGAAGGTGCTGATGCTGCTAGTGATACCATCACAATGTTACCATGGCAACAAATGAAGCACTTCATTCATTTCCTCCATTCTGACTCATTCTGATTCCTCCAACTGAAAGAGACCCCGCCCACGTAGGTGATGAGGACAGGACGTACGTATGTGAGACAAAATTCTTTAGTCCCTGAATCACAAACTAAAACAGATCAAATGAAACTGAACAAACACGAAGCTTCAGACTCTCAGAGAGAAAACGTCCTGAGTTCAGGAGAAATATCTGAACTTTTTATCCGTCTTGTCTTCCCAATAAAAAAAAAAGATCTCTCTCCACTCTGACCCAGTTCACACCTGGAGTGAACATCTGTCCTGGAGTGGACATCAGTCCTGAACCACACTGAGGACATATTACAGATCTGATGTCAGACCACATTGGGGTGTGTCCACATTCTGATCAGTGTGAAAACATTATAGCAAGAAACTTCCGGCTCTGAAGAACAGATTCTATTTACTGGCTGTAAATATTTTTATATATTTATACTTTATAAAGCTGCTTATATAAAGTGATGTTTGGCCGAAACTGTGGACAAATATTCTGACCGTCCTCATGCACTTCTGGTGTCCGTCCATTGTTTGTCTTCTCCAACTCTTCTAAAGGGACGAGGATTCTGTGGTTTGACTCTGAATCTGTCACTCTCTTCTGTCTCTGTTCGTCTTCATCACTCGTCTTCCTCGTGTCCTGTCACTCTCTGCTTTTGTCTTCTCCCTCTGCCAGAGATGAAAAGATGAAAAACAAAAGTGTCTTTGGTTCCGTGTGACAGATTTCCCATTTCCATCCTGTCAGACGTCACATTAGTGTCTGAGTCGCGTCAAGTGGAAAAACAAATGTCGTCTTGAAGCGACTGTAGATCCTCTGGTTTTCTTTACATGGATGAGAAGATGGATGGTGCGGAACGACTTGTCATGTCTGAAGTGAAGTGTGTTCATGTGTCGTTTAATAAGATGAAGGGATGAAGGTTGCTGACATGTCATGTGATAAACAGAGGAAACGTGTTATGCCTGATAAACATACATGTGCTGAACATTGTAATGCGTGAATGTCCTGCAGTGGGCGGATGTTTAGGTGACGTAGCCACGCCCACATGCAAGACTCTTTTCAGATGTACATTTTCACCATGAATGAGATTTTCGATGTAAAGTTTTAAAGGAAATGAGAAAGAATGAAATACAGTTGAAATCCGATCTTATAACAAAGCTCTCTTTAATTCAGATTACAGCAAACTACATGTTGAAATCTATTCAGAGACTCGAACCTGCCAACGTTAAAGAGAAATAAATGAATCATTCAATATTCAATAGATGCTGAAATGTATAAACATCAAATCATAATGTACATTATCTCAAGGCTCTTTACATTGAACACGTTGAAAGTTATAGACAGACTCAACAGCTCCCACACGATGAGCTTAGACGACTGTGAAGAGAAAAAACTCTTAAACTCGTTAAATTATTTATTTTGGCATTTACTCGTTTACTTTTTCATCATTGAGTTGTTCATTTATTTTTAATCTTGGCCGTGTAATTTATAAAAAGTGAAATAATGACATCACCCTCTCACAGTGAATCACACTGCACGGATGACATGTAAAGAGTAAAACACAGTTCGGTCTCCCGTGTTCACACCTCCTCTGTCCACAGTAGATTTAGAACATGTAACAGTGCTCACTCTACAGTGTGCACATCATGCAGTGACACGTGCACGACCCCTGGAGTACAGGCACACGCTGACGTGCTGAATCTGCAGTAAATGGATGTTCGGTGGCAGCAAAGTCTGCAGAGGGGACGAAGGCAGTGGAGTAGAAAGGTGGAGAGACACCCACTGCTCTCTCTCTCTCTCTCTCTCTCTCTCTCTCTCACACATAAATTACAGATGTGTCCTTCATTCGTGTGTGTGTGTGTGTGTGTGTGTGTGTGTGTGTGTGTGTGTGTGGCCTTTACACACTGCCACAGGGAGTTTACACTTTGTTGGAGGAGAGAGAGACAGAAATAGAGGGATAAACATTGCTGATAAACTAAACTAAATAATGTTATGCAGTAAAACTTGTTCGTCTTTCTTTTCTTCCTCTCTTTTCTTTTCTCTTTCTCTTTGTCGCTCCGTCTCTCAGGCTCCAGGTTTCTCTCTATCTCAGATCGGCTTTCTGCTTCTGCCTCCTGCTCCCATGTTGCTCTGTCTGTCTCTTTCTATAACTTTGTGTTTGTGTTGAATCCCTGTTACACCCTCACTCTGCTGCACACACACACACACACACACACACACGCACACACACACACACACACACACACACACAGACGCACACACACTTACATTAACATAGACACAGGAGATGGAGCGTTCATGCAGAAGCACACACGCGTTTAACACAATCTTTTTTACAACAGGAATAATGTAGTGCATGAAAAATGTACATTATAAAACTTCTTAAAATAGAAAATAAACCAGATCCTGTTCTATCATCAAAGTTTCTGCAGCAGCAGGATGAAACACACACAGACAGATAAAAAGAGAAGAGACCTCAAGTAACGCAAACTTGAATTAAAAGAGACGAACTGAACCAAGTTTCCTCCTCGACTCGTTTAACAATATTTAAATAAACCCAGAGAGTCTAAAAATACAGCAGGAGACAGAGGACGAACAAAATTCAAGTTGGATTCTGGTGATTTTAAGAAGCTGGAGAGGAAACTGAACGGTTCTGAATTCATTAACAAACATGAAAATAAAATCAATCCAAAGAAAGAAAATCTGGAGATACTCTGTTATGCTCTTTTGTGAGAAAGAAAAAAAATTCCCTCACTCAAATATTGATGATTTGAGAGAAATGAAAGATGTTTTTCTTTAATGGAGACGGTTCTGTCCTGAGATAATTACTGAGGTGGTTTAAGGGGAAAACTTTGCAGTGTGACACAACACGAAGCTGATGAGAGTGTGTGTGT